CAGCAGGAGGGTTGGACTAGATGACCCACAGAGGTCCCTTCCAACCCCTACCATTCTTTGATTCTATGATTCTGTGAAAACACTAGAGTTAACAATTATGTTAACAATTATGAACCTCTTTATCTCTTTAACCAACAAAACAAAAGAAATTCTCTGACAGAAGGATGTTTGTTTAATCACTGAGGACAGCAACATCAAGAATGGACAAGTTAAATAATCTGAATAAGAGGTTTTAAAAGTTCTCTATAGAGATGCTCTCTTCTTCACAGAAAAGCTCCCACCTTCTGAAGAGCAGTAAATATATAGATACAGAAGACTTACTAAAATATTGCTGTTGCTTACTATAAAATTATTCAATTCACCAAGTAGCCCATAGATCCTACATGTATTAATCTCCACACTTTATCTTCTTGGCTCTGTTTATTAATACTGTGGCCTGGCCAAACACACAGAAGTTCAAAAATAACAGCCGAAAATCATAAAGCCTTCAGTGATATCAAAATGACCGCCAACAAGAGACAACAATCGAAATCTCTTCTTTGCACTCATCCCTTCTCAACAGGCTGTGTTACATACTGTAGGTCTCTCTTGGGTTCCTACGTAAGAAGCAGAGGCAGAAAGTAGAACTTTCCAAGATGATTAACTGATCCCTCAACCACCAACTTGAAGTCCACAGCCCTCAGGAAATCTTGTTTTGCAACCAAAGTGTTTATGTTGTTAGAAAATTTATTTGTGCCAAGTCAATCAAGGAAACGTGGGGGGTCCTCCCCAACTGCCCCAGGAGGTTTTGTACTAAAGGCCATAAACATTCACAGCATAGGTCAGTATATACTTCTTGCATGACAGCATTGCCATAGGAACTGTCACTTTCTGGAGTGTGTGATACTGTATAATGTCTTTAAATATGAAAGCCTGTAAGAGAACAAATGAATCTTCTTTTACAACTTAATACTAGCAGCAGAACAGTGCAGAAAAACCCAGACCTCTCAGTAAAATCTGGGTCTTGCTGGGACTGTAATGAATTAATAGTTCTTAACTCTACATCAGCTGTTTGTTTTGGCTATGGATAAAGAGCACTTTGAATGTTTCTTGAAGTGAATTTTAAATATAACTCGAGAGCTATTCTTGTCTCATTAACTGGAAATAAGAGTAGGATTCAAGTCCAGGACTGAAGCCCTTTAAATATATTTGTGGGTTTTCTTTACAGTGTTTGCCTTTCCCACAGCATACAACCCACAGTGTGTCTTCACACAAGAGGAAATCTCTGACCAGGATGTTAAGCACCTTCAGCAGAGATTATCACTGTATAGTTGGACAGAAGAGTATGTTCTCCAGAAGAGTACACTAAAATTTTTCTAAACTGACATTTTGATTAAAGAGACAAGCAACAGGGAAAGTAACTGTGCCCTGATCTAAACCTGTAAAAAAGGAAAATAACCCCAGATTTTCATTTTTCTTGTACTTAAACACAACTTAGAGTTACAGAATCGAGTTGCTCTGTAGAG